CAAAATTAAGTAATACTAGAGTATTTTTTGTTATGGTAAATTTAGAGCGTAAACACATTTGTCACTTATTTTCAACATCTTACCTTTGTCACGAGAATTGGGGGAATTGGTCGTATCATTAATGGAATCTGTTGGCCCATCGTTGGTTCCCCTTGTTGACTGCCGAGTGCCTACTCAGTCCTTTTGAAGTTATTTTCGTCTCAATTCTCTTGTTCACATGGGGAAGATAGTTGCCAAACATGTTAATGCTGATCTGTTTATAGCTCTAAGAAATACCTGTTCACATTCCAAGGAGTATTTTTGAGAAATTGAGCAAGTTAGAGTTTACATGCTCTAAATCTTTGCACTTCATCCAGCAGGAGGCTCATAGCAAGAAAAGGCGCCACAATACTTTGATGTCGAGTAGGATCGATGTTGAAGGAAAATTCATGATGTGTTACAGAATTCACATTACTCCATCCGAAATATAGTACTTGGGACCTGAGGAAGAAGTTTCAAATTATGTGGTTAAGCCTCCTAGAAAGTATTCTTCTGACTTTGCTAGAGTTGCTTTTGTTGACGAAGACTGGACTAAGCTTTTTCCAGATGTTATCTCTGCTAGAACTGGATGAGGGTTTTTTCCCAACCCTTGAAAACTGGTTGTATTATCTCATTTTATCTTTCCTGAAAGGACTTTCCATTGGTCCAAAGAAGTATGAATTCATGGCCTTCTTAGCAGTTCAACTTTGTGGAAGTTCTGATGTTTGCTGGATGTTTGCTTCTAGCGATTCCCTGAAGGCGGAGGATATAAGAAAGTGGATGGGCCACTTTGAAGAAATTCGCTAGAATGGGCCAGTTGTTCAGCTCCTCCGGACAAACTGTTGAAATCCTACCACATGATGTGGAAGAGATTCCAGATATTGAAGTCACAACTGATGGCACTAAATACATATTTTCTGATGGTATTGGGAAGATACTGAGAGATTTGCCAAAGAAATTGCTCACTGAATTGGATTAGACATTACTAACTCTCCTCCAGCTTTTCAAATAAGGTATGGTAGTGGTACCGACAAAGGAGTTGTTGATGTCGACCATGATTCCTTTCGTAATATTTCTCCGCGGCCTAGCATGAAGAAATTCGAATCTAAAAGCACAATGTTAACATTAGAAGTTGGAGTAAAGCCCAGCCATGCTATATGAATCGTGACATTATCTCTCTCCTTTCGACTTTGGAAATAAGAAATGAGATATTTTAGTTGATGAAACAAGATGACATGCATGAATTAGCTGAAACGCTGACGAACAAAGAAGCTGCTCTCTCTGTTATGGGGAAAACTGGTAGTGACAAAATGAAGACAACATCCAAAATGTTACCGCAAGGTTATGAACCAAGTTTAGAGCCTTACCTGTTGATGATTCTTAAGGCTCATCAAGATAATGTCTGACTGACACAAGAACTAGATGTAATACTCATGTCCCAAAAGGCCATGTAAATATTTGTAGTTTGGACGAAATAGGCGAATTAGAATATGGTAAGTCTACATCAGAATTACAAAATATGGGAGAGCATAAGGATAATGGTCAGCCGTATTTTTCTAAAGATAATGGGAAAGAGAAAACAACAATTGTTGTTGGAAAAGTTGCAATATCAAAAAATCCTTATCTCCATCCTGGTGACATCGGAGTACTTGAAGCTGGACATCACAATGGATTTTATGCTAAGAACCTGGTTGATCGTGTTGTCTTCCCTCAACGAGAAAGGTAATGCTATATGTTATATTGAAACTAGAAGGCGGCCATCTAGAGGTCATATTCTCAGCTTCATAATGTCAATTTAATGTTTGTTTCAGCTCATGTATGCACCAAGAATATGCACTACAATTTCTGGGCCTGTAGTTTATTCAAGGTTCTCAGATGACTGGTCTCATGCATGCACGGAGGATGCGAAGTTTACCTGGGTCAGAGCACTAGATTTTACACCAAACCAATCTCTCGGGAAGTGTTCAACTCTCACCCTCATACTTGATGAAGGTGCAACAATGTCATTTATTGTTGACAGTTTACCTTTGTCAGGAGAATTAGGGGAATTGGTCGTACCATTAATGGTATCTATTGGCTCACCGTTGGTTCGCATTGTTAACAGCCCGAGTGGCTGCTCAGTGCCTTTTGAGGTTATGTCCGTCTCAATTCTCTTGTTCCCATGGGGAAGATAGTTGCCAAAGATGTTAATGCTGGTCTGTTTAAAGCTCATCAAAAAATACCACTACATATTTCAAGGAGAATTTTTTAGAAAATGAGCAACTTAGAGTTTACATGCTACGAATCTTTGCACTTCATCTAGCAGGCTCATAGTAAGAAAAGGAGCCACAATAATTTGATGTCCAGTAGGACCGAAGTTGAAGGAAAATTAATGATGTGTTACATAATTCACATTACTCCGTCCAAAATATACTTCTTGAGACCTGAGGAAGAAGTTACGTACTTTTGTTGATGAAGACTTGACTAAGCTTTTTCCAGATGTTATCTCTGCTAGAACTAGATGTTATCAGTGCTAGAACTGGATGAGGGTTCTTTTCCCAACCATTGAAAACCGGTTGTATTATCGCATTTTATCTATCCTGAAAGAAGGACTTTACATTAGTCAAAAGAAGTATGAATACCTGGCGTTCTCAATAGGTCAACTTTTTGAAGTTCTGTTTGGATGTTTGCTTCTAATGATTCCTGAAGGCCGAGGATATAAGAAAGTGGATGGGCCACTTCGAAGAAATTCGCTAGAATGGACCAGCTGTTCAACTCCTCCAGACAAACAATTGAAATCCTACCACGAGATGTCGAAGAGATTCCAGATATTTAAGTCACAACTGATGGCACAAAATACATATTTTCTGATGGTATTGGGAAGATCTTGAGAGATTTGCCAAAGAAATTGCTCACCGAATTGGATTAGACCATACTAACCCTCCTCTAGCTTTTCAAGTAAGGCATGGTAGTGGTAGCTACAAAGGAGTTGTTGTTGTCGACCATGATTCCTTGCGTAATATTTTTCTGCGGCCTAGCATGAAGGAATTTGAATCAAAGAGCATGATGTTTAACATTACAATTTGGAGCAAAGCCCAGGCATGCTATATGAATCATGAAATTATCTTTCTCCTTTCGACTGTGGGAATAAGAGATGAGATATTTGAGTTGATGCAACAAGATGACATTAAAAAATTAGCTGAAATGCTGACGAACAAAGAAGTTGCTCTCTCTGTTATGGGGAAAATTGATAGTGACGAAAGGAAGACAGCATCCAAAATGTTACTGGAAGGTTATGAACCAAGCTTACAGCCTTACCTGTTGATGATTCTTAAGTCTCGTCAAGATAATGTCTGACCGACATAAGAACTAAATGTAATATTCATGTCCAGAATGGCCGTGTAAATGTTGGTAGTTTGGACGAAACAGGCGATTTAAAATATGGTCAAGTTTACATCTGAATTAAAAAAACAGAAAGGCATAAGGATAATGGTCAGCCGTATTTTTCTAAAGATAATGGGAAAGAGAAAACAGGAATTGTTGTTGGAGAATTTGCAATATGAAAGAAATCCTTGTCTCCATCTTGATGACATCGGAGTACTTGAAGCTGTATATCACAATGGATTGTATGCTAAGAACCTGGTTGATTGTGTTGTCTTCCCTCAAGGAGGAGAATGGTAAGTTATATGTTATATTGATACTGAAAGGCGACCATCTAAAGTTCATATTGTCAGCTTCATAATGTCAATTTAATGTTTGTTTTAGCTCAGGTATGCACCAAGAATATGCACTACAATTTCTAGGCCTGCAGTTTATTCAAGGTTCTCAGATGACCGGTTTCATGCATGAACGGAGGATGTGAAGTTTACCTAGGTCAGAGCACTAGATTTTACACCAAACCAATCTTTCGAGAAGTGTTCAACTCTCACTCTCATACTTGATGAAGGTGCAACAATGTCATTTATTGTCGACAACTTACCTTTGTCGGGAAAATTGGGGGAATTGGTCGTATCATTAATGGAATCTATTGGCTCATTGTTGGTTCCCCTTGTTGACTGCCTGAGTGGCTGCTCGGTGCCTTTTGAGATTATTTTCGTCTCAATTCTCTTGTTCACATGGGCAAGATAGTTGCCAAACATGTTAATGCTGATCTGTTTACAGCTCTTTAAGAAATACCACTTCATATTTGAAGGAGGATTTTTGAGAAAATGAGCAACTTAGTTTACATGCTATGAATCTTTGCACTTCATCCAGCAGGAAGCTCATAGTAGGAAAAGGAACCACAATACTTTGATGTCCAGTATGACCGAAGTTGAAGGAAAATTAATGATGTGTTACATAATTCACATTACTTCATCCAAAATATTCTGCTTCGGACCTGAGGAAGAAGTTTCAAATTACGTGGTTAATCCTCATAGTAAATGTGTTTCTGACTTGACTGGAGTTACTTTTGTTGAGGAGGATTGAACTAAGATTTTTCCAGATGTTGTCTCTGCTAGAACAGGACGAGGGTTCTTTTCCCAACCCTTGAAAACTAGCCTGCATTATCGCATTTTAATTATCCTAAAAGAAGGACTTTCCATTGGTCCAAAGACTATGAATTCCTGGCCTTCTCAGCAGGTCAACTTCGTGGATGTTCTGTTTGGATGTTTGCTTCTAATGATTCCCTGAAGGCCGAGGATATAAGAAAGTGGATGGGCCACTTTGAAGAAATTCGCTAGAATGGGCCAGCTGTTCAGCTCCTCCAGACAAACAGTTGAAATCCTACCACATGATGTGGAAGAGATTCCAGATATTGAAATCACAACTGATAGCACTAAATACATATTTTCTGATGGTAATGGGAAGATACTAAGAGATTTGCCAAAGAAATTGCTCACCGAATTGGATTAGACCGTACTGAACCTACTTCAACTTTTCAAATAAGGCATGGTAGTGGTAGCTACAAAGGAATTGTTGTCGTCGATCTTGATTCCTTTCGTAATACTTCTCTACGGCCTAGCATGAAGAAATTCAAATCTAAGAGCACAATGTTTAACATTACATGTTGGAGCAAAGCCCAGCCATGCTATATGAATCGTGAAATTAAATTTCTCCTTTCGACTTTGGGAATAAGAGATGAGATATTTCTGTTGATGCAACAAGATGCCATGCATGAATTAGCTGAAATGTTGACGACCAGACAAGCTGCTCTCTCTATTATGGGGAAAATTGTTAGTGCCGAAATGAAGACAACATCCAAAATGTTATTGCGAGGTTATGAACCAAGTTTAGAGCCTTACCTGTTGATGATTCATAAGGCCCATCAAGATAATATCTAACTAACATAAGAACTAGATGTAATATTCATGTTCCGGAAGGCCGTGTACATATTGGTTGTTTAGAAGAAATAGGCGAATTAAAATATGGTCAAGTCTACATAAGAATTTAAAAAAATAGCAAAGAGCATAAGGATAATGGTCAACCGTGTTTTTCTAAAGATAATGGGAAAGAGAAAGCATGAATTGTTGTTGGAGAAGTTGCAATATGAAAGAAATCCTTGTCCATCCTGGTGACAATGGAGTACTTGAAGCTGTATATCACAATGGATTGTATGCTAAGAACCTGGTTGATTGTGTTGTGTTCCCTCAACGAGGAGAAAGGTAATGTTATATGTTATACTGAAACTGAAAGGCGACCATCTAGAATTCATATTGTCAGCTTCATAATGTCAATTTCATGTTTGTTTTAGCTCATGTATGCACCAAGCATATGCACTACAATTTCTAGGCCTGCAATTTATTCAAGGTTCTCAGATGACCGGTTTCATGCATGCACAGAGGATGCGAAGTTTACCTGGGTCAGAGCACTAGATTTTACACGAAACCAATCTTTCGGGAAGTGTTCAACCATTTGAGCTTGTGGTGCCATGGCCCCGATGCGACATACGCGCTACTGCCCTGCTGTAGGTTGAGTCCAACACAGCTGTGGGCTCTGTGATGACGGTGTTGTCCAATAGCTATGGTTGGAGTGCGCCCGTGCTTCACCATCACCTGCAACATTGTCAGAAGGTCAATCTCCTTCCACGACATATTCCTCGACTTCACGTCTCTAAGGGCCACAGAAGCGAAGGCGACTCGCGCTGCCATGCGGGTTGCTCCCTTGTATTAGCTCTTTGGGTGGCAACTCAGGTGCCCATATCTGACAAGAGAACCTTGTCCCACTAGCGTCAGATCAAGAGGCACACTTTGCCTCCCTCTCAAGTCCTAGTGCTGTGCCTCATTTTCTACCTGGAGCTTCTAAAGGTTAGATCCCTGGAGGAGATGTGGAGAGCGTGCAGTATGAGAATAGAGGAAAGGACTATATTTTCGGCAAGCGTTTACATTCAAAGGGTGAGAATCGTAGTGCCCTTTGAAGAGTAAGATGGATTCCCCTATTGATGTTAGCAAACCTTGCCCTCTCCAACTGTGGAGAGCAAATAGTGATGGTGACATACCTTGCGCACCAAAGGAGATGGGGGATGTGGTGATTTTGTCTTGGATCTCAAATGCATGTTTTCGAAGAAAATGCTTGGTGAGTTAGAAGAGAGAGCTGATAAAGTTGTGAGGAGTTAAATATTTGCAAAAGCAACATTCAATAGAAGTGATCAGTGCCCCTGCTTTGATCCTTCGGGCAAGGTAAGAACTGTTGTAAAGATGTTACGGAAGGCTGCAAATAGGAAGGACTCAAGTGATAACTACCAATATTGTCTGGTAGCCACTTGGCTCCATGATGATGACCTAATTCACTTTTAGATGCATTGGGGAAAGGGTGAGCATGTTGTTGTTTCTGATGTTCTTCAATCAACCTATGGTTTAAGTTGGGCGCCGATGGTTATGTGGCAGACATTGCATGAAAGAGACCAGGGCAAGGCAGAAGATGAGAAGTTGGTTGTGAGGGTAATACATTGCCTTGATTGGTGTGAGGTGCCAAACTCTATTCCACATTTCTACTGAATGTCATAGTTGTCGATTTCTTTGATTTATTTTTGGCAGTAAGCAGTGATTGCCGTGACAATGTCCGTTGAGCAGTGCATCATTTGCCATGCAAACTAGCCGAGTGGGGAGCAGCAACTTATTTGCACCACCATGGACCAAACAAGCCTGGAGACATGGCAACGCCAGAAAAGGTGTCATGCGGTCTTGAGGTTTTGCGGGCATAGCTGGCAGTAATAGTTGTTTGTCCAGCCACGCTGTTGAAGATGATCATTGCACCAAAGGTGAGTTTGGTGCAGAAGCTAGGCGAAGATATTGAGCTTTCCAGGCGCCCATGTTTCCCAGAAGATGGACTTGAAATTTGTTTTGATCAATCCCTTGAACTGCATGTTGTAGACAAATTTGGTGGAGTAATTCTCGAAGCTCTCAAAATTACACTTGATAGTGTCGTTGGTGTCGTCGTTGAGATTTATGGAAGAGGCTTGGATTGTTGCGTACGCGCAATCTCTGTTGGTCATCGTGTACCCGCCACAACAAAGGTTGATGCATACTTGGCTAACGGATACGGATACACCAGCCCACACCATCGCAAGTAGACTCACTTCATTACTCCCCTCCCGGTCTAATCAAACATGAACTATCTTTGGTGACCAGACCACTAACCAGTCACCACCACTATCCAACACCTCATGAACATGTGGGCGCACTACTTCCAAGCAGCGAAGGTGTTGGCAACAGTGGCAGTCCATGACAATGGAACTATCGCCCAACCAGCCCGGGTCGTTGAAGAGTGAGGTGCAACAAGTTGCTAGCCAACTTGGGTGGCATTGCCACATTTCACGTGGGGGCAAAGTCTTATGGGAGATTTGACAAGAAAGGAACAAGTGCACACTCAGGGGCAAGATTGCTAAAATGAGATTGTCGCCGTCATCAGATGAGCAATGGAGTTATGGTGACTAACTGTAGCAAAAATGCATTGAGCCCCCTTTGGGGGATCCACGGTGAGAGATACTCTTAGTTTTCGCCAGCATATAGGGACAAGAAAGGAACAAGTGCACATTCAGGGGATCCAACGTGAAAGATACTTTTAGTTTTCACCAGCATATATATAGGGGCAAGAAAGGAACAAGTGCACATTCAGGGGCCTTGTATTAGTTGTTTTCTTTCAATTAATCCTTGACCTTCGGATCGCCACCATGTTATCTCCCGCTGCTTCCTGCTAAACATCAATCAAAGCCAACAATTTGTTGGATCTTTAGAAGAACTATACTTGGGACGTCTAACCCATATCACTAACTCTAGAATCTAGCTCCAATCCCTATTCGCAAACGATGTAGAATTATGGCGGATCTACAAAGCTAGAGAGAAACGCTAAGATTGTACCTTCAAGGCAAAGGTTGCGGATGTCGGTGATTAGGGCGGCACTACTAGTGTAGCACGTAGCCTAGGTCAGCTCGCCGATGTCGCGGTGACAGAGGACACACTCAAGACGAAGCAAGATGTGAAGGGATCTCGTCACAAAGTGGGGACAACACAATAAAGCGTGGTGTTCCAAGTAGGGTTGCGGCCACCGACATGGTATGTGGCAACACATAGCCGTGAGCGAGGATCACCAGGAAGCAAGACGATGGAGTAGACCAGCTCGAGGACCATCAAGTTGTTGCTAATTTTTTTCCTTCAAAAGAAGTGTCATGGGGTAGGTCCTTATTTAAGTGGTTATATTGCAAAAGAAAACCTACAACTGAGGGCCTAGGTCATACTAGATACCTACATGGGCAGTCAAATGGTCAACGGTTTATATGTCAACAAAATACGTATGATATGAGTGGCGGTGACCATAGGTGGGCCCTTTGAGTGTCTTTGATGACTGTAAATTGAGGTTTCCAGTGTACATTGACCAAAGTGCGGCCTTGAGACAAGTTTGAGTACAGTAGATGCATTTTACTCAATGGAGATATAGCAATGCATATTATACCATGAGTGGCAGGTATGTGCCGTCCATGCGGAAGAACGGGCTGTGTTGCTCGGTGTTTGTGTTGTAAAGCTTGGTTGGCAAGATTAGTTTAAAGGTCCAATGATGACAATGTGTGCTGGATGCACTTCTCCCAAACCCCCGGAATCCCCTCCAAACTCATGTTGTCTTGTTCATCTCCAGCAAAGGACAACATTAAACGGCCACACACCTCCACCAGAGAGACCACAACCAGGTGCTACTCAAGTGTACCTCCCTCGCAATAATGATACTCATTGATTGTTGCAATCTTCGATTAATCCCGGGACATCTCCTAGCGCTATTCCTTCCACACTCCCGCACTCTAAAATGGCTCATTGGTCAAGCTATGTGCTCTTCACAAAATCGAGTCAAGAAGAGATCAGGAGAGTCACTAGAGTTGTGTTGAAGAAGGATGGGAGCAATGAAGGACAGGGGGGGAAACATGGGGATGTACCATGAGCTACAAGAGAGAGGTAGTTATGCGGGCTTCACAACTTGAACACTACATTGCAGGGCGCTTTCTTCAGCAAGGCCGACCTCCTAGATATCGCTCCAGACCCGATGGGCATGAGTAGGGGTCATGCTCGGCATCAAGATGTGTGCGCGGGGATTTTCGAGAAAAGAGTGAGGGGTCCCACAACATCTACAATGACAGAGATTTTGATGTTCTACAACGTCTTCAATGACGGAGATTTCAATGTTCTGGTAAAATTTCTGCTTTGCCAGGTCTTCACAATCTTTTGTGTAGATGACATTGTGGATTTTTTAAGGATTTTTGTAGGAAATAGGTGTTTGAGTTGAATCACTCAAACTCCACTATTTTTTGAGATATGCTTAACACGCTCTCAAACACACAAATAACCTACAAGAAGTACATACATCCAGGATCATCTTGCTTGTGCTTCTCTTGCCCATCAGCATGCTACTAAGACTCCAATGGACCTCAATGTCCACCTTCGAGCTTCTGATGGTGAGCCACTTTATGATCAGATTAGCTATTGCCATCATGTTGGGGGTCTTGCCTATCTAGCTTTCACTCGTTCCGATATCTCCTACATATAGTTCACATCCGGAGTCATGTCTCGTTTCCCACTCGGGTTTAACAACTGCCTCCTTCGGTTTCTTTAGACACTCCAGTTTGTTACAGCTTCAGGCATATTCGTAAGCTACTTGGGCAGTGATCCTTTACATCGACAATCGATTTCTGCTTATTGTGTTTTTCTTGCTGGTTCTGATTGCCTAGAAGATTAAGAATCAAG